GCTGAAGATGTCGTGGTTCGCTCGATGCTTCGAGTGTGTCTGTAAACACGCAAGAGTGGGAGCTGGTTAACGTCGGAGAACCTGCCAGACTTTGGCAGAAAGTTCCCTGCGGTTACCGATTTATATGCTAACCGATCGAAAGTATGGATATTAGAGTGGCCTGAATATTTGTCGAACGTTTACTGTGACCCGAACTTTAAAAAGTGACTACAGTTCGGAAGAAAAGCAATTGAACTTTAGGAGAAAATGGAAAGTTTGAACAGCTGCTGAAAATATAAAGTAGCGATTCGATATAGATCATCGATCAAAAATATCGTGAATGTGTTTTTACACACACGGAGGAACGAAACCGTTCGACGGAGGATGCCGAAGAACGAGCCTATAGTTTCCGCAGACGCTACCGCGACCACGTAAGATGTAAATTCAATTTCCACGCCGTTGACATACGCTGCGCCGGTTAATTCGATTTAAATTTAGTGAACCAAGCAATTTTGACACAACTACACGTGCTATACCGCATTGTCCCAGCCCGTGGTCTACCCAACGTTTCATGGACGTTCTTTGAAGTTTACATTTTTTCTCTTCATCGCGCGAGTTCGTGAAATCCTGTTAATACGATGATCATGCTACGTTATAAATTGAAACATGAAACAATTAACGCGCTCCAATAAACTGTTACACAACGCCAATAATCAAATTGCAAATTAAATTCGACATAATCGAACCATGATTAATTAACTAAAACATTACTGTACATATACCGAAACGTCGCTGAATAAATCATCATAATGTTCAGAAAATGTCGCGAAAACACACGCGACCGATCACATCTTCGTAACAACCGAAGCGATAACGGGAACAGTATCGACTGTCATTAATTACAGCATCGTCAACCGGAAGACGCAATGTCCGTTGATAGTGATTGACGCGAGCTGCTCTCTGCCAAGGTCAGACTCGACCATTCGAAAGTTATGGCTGCTGTACACCGTTACCTTGACAGGTTAACACACCAAGCGACACGTCCACCGATTCGCGAACAGGACAGAACGTCCACGGAGTGAAAGAATCGACGCGTTAACTGGCGTGAAATCAAACGATAAACCGGTGCGTAAAGTCGTCTCCGGCGCACCAGTCTATCGAAGGAGAGAGGGTGGTAACGAAGCTCAGCCAAGGTGGGGTGAGTTGAGGTTAGGTCACGCCGCAGACCGCGAATGTAGGGTTGTGGGTCGCGCCCGGTCGAGCTCAGCTGCGCTGCGACCTAAAGGGGTTGCGGCTCGTCGCTGGTCAGACACGCCAGAGACACTCGACTATTTCCGTCGTTTTTCCACAGAAAATATCAACCCTTTTTCCAGCAACCCTCCACCAGGCACACGACGCTCCCATATAAAAAAGAACTATGATTACGCGACGGTGAAATCTACCGTCATCAGTCAGACCGAGAGTCAGCCGCGTTGATCCGCCTGTTAAAGCGCTACCGTCATAACGACACTGTGGCATTGTTTGTGGAGATAATTCCATTCCGTAAATTGCAGTATACAGGGAAAAGCTCGTTCCAGGTTGCGATAGAAGGAGCTAGTCGGAAGGGACACGTATACGAGCAGGGCACCGGACGAAAGCTCCAGGTTGCCAGGTGATCAGGTCATACTCACCAGTTTCTGTTCGACCCGGAGTCCTCGTTACGCGACCTTTCCAGCCAAACGAGGAACACACCACTCGGAGCACTTTCGCGCGCGGCTCGCGTTCACCGCGACTCGAGCCGTCGAAGACGATACGGGGTTGACGGGAACTGATTTCCGCGTGGACGATCGGCGGCAAGAAAGTGTGCACGACGTCGAAACGACGGTGACGGTTGGGCCGTGCTCGCGTCGACGGCTGCTGCTACCGCGGCTCGCGCTACCTCGGCCGGTCTCGGTCGGCCTCGTCCTTTGTCGGTGTTCCTCGGCTCTTGTATCGTGACGTCGCGCGGGGACGCGAAAACCCCGGCGGTGTTGAGTATCGATCGCATGCGCCAGCGCACGCGAGCTACGATGCGGCGCGTCAACACGCGCCTTTCTCGACTGGCGTGAGGGTTGCCCGACACGTGGTTACGTGGCCGCTCACCGAGCGTTTCTCCGCTAATCGTGCACCACCTGCACACGGTCACCTTGATTGGATCATCCTGGCGGAAGTCGGAAACGATTATTTGCGTCGGAAGTCGGAGGTGGCCGCGTTCAGCTGGAACCGGAATCTTCCGGGATCGCTGCGACTAGGTGTCAAGGGATGACCTTGCCTCGTACGTTGCGACAGTTGCGTCTGAGCGGTCGACAGTCCCTCCTGGAGATGTTGAAGTACATGAAGTGGTTACTCGAGATGATCTTAACAGAGCTTTGGTAGGATATGCAGATCTAGGAATCGTCGCACCACTGAACGACTGTAAGCTGAGGATTTTGGATGGAAAGCTTGAGGCTTTGGAAATTTAGCAAAGTTGCCTAAGAACGTACTGAAGACTACAAACATTTTCAAACGAATTCCAATCTGGACATGTCAACTTTCTGCCACAGCTGTACAATGTTGACCGATGAAACGACGTTACTGCTGTTATGACACGTTTCAATTCACAAGCGGTCGAACGGCATGTGACAGGACAATTGAAACAAATTGCGTTACGAACGAATCGTTTCGCTTATCGTTCAATGTAGCCTCGTTATCGCTTAGCCCGTAGCAAGAAGCCAGTTTCGAAACGGCGATACGTCGTTAAGCTGTTTACCGTCAAGCAGTCATTAAGAGCGACGCATTTGTTTAATTACGCGTTATTAACTTACGCCAAATGCGAAAGATTAAGCCTACAGAAACTAGACTAATTGCACAATGTTGCAACACGTAGAACTTAATACGAATGTACGCGAAATTTTATTCGAATTACGTGGTATCCGAAGCCCGTGGCGCTTCGCCCAATAGAATCGCGCGGATACCACCCTGATCGTCCGCGAAACGCGCTGACATCTGACGGAGGGTGAAAGAAGTGCAACGAAAGAAATTCGTCTCGCGAAAGAGCAAACAATCTGCAGTTTTCTACGCGAGAATCACCCTCTTCGCGACTTCGCTCTTTCCTGAAGAGCTCTCCTTACCGACCTTCAGTGATAACACGATGCCTCGTACGACCGCTACCTTTCGATAAAGAATACTTTAGACGAATGGCTACGTCTGGTCGAACGTTATTGATCGTTAAACATGCCAACGGTGTTAACAGATCATTGTGCTATGCAGTGCTGCGTGCTGGCGGTTAGGATCGGAACACGGTCTCTTCCACTGGTAATTGTTCGAGTGCGCCATTAAACGATGACACATACTATGGTACTTTATAAATCATCGTACATCGATCACAACCGTCAACTTCCTTAAGATCAATGATTCATTCAGCACCCTTCGTGCAAAGCGACATTGAAAGTTTTCCCGTCAATCGGTCCATTGAAAATCATCCACCCCTCGAACGTAACCCTTTCTACCTGAAGAACGCATTATCCGATCATCGATCAACCGCGAAGCGGATCGTCACAACGCGGTGTCGCGTGACTTCCGGTTTTCGGATTCCTGGATTCTTAGACTCAAAGTATACCCCGAATTCTCAAAGGCTTAAATCCGGAAGTGTCATGAACTAAGGATTCTGAATTCTGAAATGTCACTCTTCAGTTTCAAAAATTTAAAAGGTTTGTACATTTTCAACTTCTAGAATTCTGAAGAGTTTGAAATGTGGAGGAATGTGAATCTCGAGGTGTTTAAAATTCCGAAATAGCGAAATCGTCGGTGCGTCGCAATTGAGCGCGTTGCGGTTCACGGCGATCCGACGCGACGATGCTCGCGGCGACTCGGCGCGACGTCCATCATCCCCGCAGCTACGCCGTAAGGTGGCAACGTTGCTCTCGCGTGAGAGCTTTAGAGTCAGACGCAAGGGGCAATGCTACCGCTCGCGCCAATAGTCGTCGGTGGAGGGGAGGGCAACTATAGCGTGCTCTAGCAATGTGTCCGTGGTCGGCGGTGGGGGTAGTCGGGTATCTAGCGCGAGAGGGAGAGTGTGACTAGTGGGGGCAAGTCAACAGTCGGGCAGTGGGGATGAAAGAGGAGTTAGAGCAAGAGGAACGACAGTCGGCGAGAGTAGGAGAGACGCATCTGGCGGAGAGGGAGCGAGAAGCCGCCGAAAGCGCATAGCGGCCCATAATTCGGTGCGCCGCCCCGCAATCAGGTTCGTGCTCGATGTTTCTAACCGCCTCGCTCGTCGCAGCCGGGAGAGAGAGACGGTAGTGCACGTTTTTACGTTTGCTCGTCGGCTACGTTTACCGAGTACGATCCGGGATACATCTAAGCGCGTTGCTTCGGCTCCGTTCGCTCGATCTCCTCGCTGCCTCGCGCGCGTACACGCATTCGGTCTGGTTGTTTATCCACCTATCTGGCAGCTATCGGGGCTGACAGACGGCTAAAGAGTTGTCGGTTCACGCGGCGAACGCACGCGACGCGTGTGTGCGGTGGAACCGGAAGGGCAGCGGTTGCTCCTTGGAACGCAGTGTGAGGGAAAGCCTGAAAACGGAAACGCGGACGAAGGAGGAACGCAGTGGCTAGCCGGTAGACTCGCGACAGGAGCGTGCGTCTGCCAGTCAACCAGCCAACCATTCAGTCAGTCGGTCAATCATTCAGTCAGTGCCGGTTCTACGCTCCGAACGTTCCTCTCCGTTTGTACGCGCTCCGAGTTACTCAATGGTAACTCTGTCGGTGTGTTTCCTTGGAAACACCGGTTGGGATACTCGTCTGTAAGTGAACGAGAAGATACGACCCGACCAAACGGATCCTCTCTGGTGCTTTTTGTGATCCTCGAGTATACACGTAACGTATACGCACACCGTTGGCTATTGGGCTCGAGGGAAATGTGCCGCCATGGACACACGGCCAGAGTGAATGATTTTCGGTGATTTGCTTACGATTGTTGGTGATGATTGTGCCGGTTCTCGCTAATACGTCTCCACGTCGCCGTCGCCGTCGTGGTCGTCGAGGCGCCTTCCGAACTTGAACGTCCGACCGTGTCTACCATTCGTCGATCAGTTCCTCCGCTTCTTGGTCCACGTAGTCACGTAAATATGAAACACGCATGCATGCCCCGAAACACGGACCGTTCGAGCGCACGTGTGTGCACGTGCACGGACGAACGGTATAGACACGGCTGATTATTAACGAGTTATTACCGCGATACTAATTAAGTTTAATCGCAAGGCCGCCGTTCGTTAAAGTTAATTGCACGATCGACCACGGCCCACGTCGTTAACTACGCCGTCCATGCCCGCTGCGTAGTCATGCTTTTATAGAAATTACGTATGGGGTCTCGATCAGTGATGGGCAATTCGAGTGCCCGCCATCGTTTTCGTTCTGTGTCAAGCATTTCATGTTTGTTTATTTAGAAACTTACAGTTCAGAAATTTAGCAATTCGCCGGTTGGGAAATTCAAACATTTGCTAATTTAGAAATTTATTCATTTGGAAATCTAGAAATTTATAAACAGAAATATCGATCTAAATCGCGAGTTTGCGAAATCGATTCGGGAAGAGCCACTAGAATCATCCGCGTTTCCTCTTTCTTTTGTTGCTTCTGTTTAAATCGCTCACGCGTTATTCTTCGCGATCGTTCTTTTTCCGTGACGTCGAACAATGTTCACGCGACTCCGTTGCAGTTCAGTGAATCGCAATTGATATTAAAACACGCATCGCGAATTCGTGTTTCTCACGATTTATGCTAGCCCGATAACCGCGTATTCCGATTTTTCTACTGTCGCCGAACACGTTCGTACGCAATTTGTGACAGCGAATAATGATCGTCTTGCTTCAATGACTTGCTTGTTAATTTGTTTGTCGCCTTGCGTATCCGTGTTATTAACCATTTCTTCGGGCGTCGTTTATTAACGGTCTCGCTCTGATTACATTCAACAGCGTACAATACGTCGAATCGGTATTAGTTCCGCGGATTATTTCTATAACTTTAAATTTCTTTCGGTGACCTTCATGGTTTCAGACAATAACAACATTCATAAGGCACTTCGAATTTCGCCATTTTTAATATCTGTACATTTATTCCGTTTCTCCCCTGGGAATTTCATTAAATTCCTCTCACACTTGCATTTTAAAATTTAACAGAAAGTTTCATATCATTGGTATGTTAATTTTTAAATTTTCCATGAATTTGATATTTGTGAATATCGAGAATATTGATCGTTCTAGGTCTTCATGAAGTTCTAGTAATTTTCGATTTCCTCGATAGTTAAAATTTGATTTCCCATCGACTTTATGCTAATGCAGCGACCCAACTTTCCGTGCACATGTCAGGCCGGATCGTAGACGGAATTTGTTAAAAGTTCGTAGTCCGTTGCGACACGCACTCACGCGCCTCGTATATTGCGTGCGACTCGTGTGATCAATAAATCGGTCTGTGCAGCACGCACACGAACGCATCCGTCCGTGTACGCACGTGTCGTGCACACAATTGCAGACCACTCTAAAACGCAGCCTAAACGTAAGACCTTTTTCGTGCGTCTGCACAGTGGTGTATCACGAAAATCCACGCGCAGGTCAGAACGTTTCGACGTGGATAAAGTTTCACCTTCGCAAAAGCCCGGGGTTTTAAGAATATCGTGAAAGCAAATGAAAAGGTTTTTATTCGGAATGGCGGCTATATATATGTAGGTTGTTAAAAATAATTGGGACTCTGTTTTCATTCGGACGAGGCAACGCTCTCGATAAGCGGTCTATATTTTTGGACGATAGATATTCACGATATTAAATAGATAAGATTACTTTTGTCCGCTCTACAAGAGAAACTTCTATTTTAATTTGCGTTTTTACGAGTTGATTATACAGTGGGCGTTTCGTTAATTAATTTTTAGAAAATTAGTTTCTGCATATCTTCGGAGATCTCCGTAACAGATAGCCGAGTTTTTCGTGCTAATTATGGGATAGCTGATTTGTTTCTGCACGAATTCTATTTCAGAGTATAGCCGTTACAGAAATTGCATTCGGTAATTTCGAAGTCAAATTTCGGTATTAAACAGCTGAGTTATTTTAATTCGCGTGTTGTACCGGGCACGTACTTTGTAGGCAAATATGAATATTCGTTGAAATTAGTTAACAAACTCCGATTTAACGTACCGTAATTCGAATATCTCCACTCACTGTGTATCGCATTTCGAACGTGTATAAATTCCTATACGGAGAAATTTGCTATTCCGTAAAAAAAATACAGCGAACTTATGTGTAGGTGATGGGTGAATTTTTGTCGGAATTAACCGTATACGTTGGTTCACTTTCTCCTTGGTCTATCATCTTATAACTGGCTTCCCGTCGTGTTTTTGATAAATTCGATACGAAACTTCCTGAACGAACGGGATGTTGGACAAGTAACAAATGTACGCGCATGTATTATCTTTTAGCGGGTAATGCTTCGTGTACTCGTTTCTGAAACGTTTTAAATTAAAAACACTAACCGTATCTCTAAATCTTGTAGCCATTCGTTATCTCCTTGCAATTCGATTATTTTTACCGGTGATATCACTATTCGTCAGACTTTGCAAATTATTTGTGAGAGAAAAAATTTTTATTATTTTATGAAGTAATTATTAAATTTTTTTATTTCTGTAAAGTAACAGTAATAGTTTTCATACAAATACGATTGGAAAGAATCACTCGGAGCGTCTTTCCGCATGGCGAGTGATGGCTATTTGATCGATAGCTCGAGCCCTTCGCTTTTTCACCGTCACACTATATTGCGACCCTTTTTATTAATGACTGACTCACACGCATCCCGATAAGCCGTGATAGACACGAAGCAACGTTTGCGTGGCGTTTTCGAGTCGTTATTTCCAGCCACGCACGAGGCTCTATCTTTCCGGGCGATTTATTAACGCTCACGCTTTTGCACACGTTGTATCATTCACGATTTCTTTGTCCTCCGTTTCTACGAGGGGTTGTTTCCCTTTCTGTATTTGCACTTACAAAAGTTCGACAAAGAAATCTGACGATGCAGCATTTGTTCCTGGTATTAAAACGCCGTATCTCTAGATACTCAAATTTACAAATTTAAATTTTCAAAAGCAATTTTGAAGTAAATTATTAGGAATAATTTTTTAGAAAATTAAGTCTTTATTATCAGTCAAACGTAAAATAATATTGAAATAACGTGAATTAAAAAGGAAAAGCTTAGGTCAATCCAACGTCACCCGAAGAGTTATCGGTTCATTTTATAAATCCTCCCGAATTTCAGTGCGAATGAATCTAGCGGTTCCGGTGAAAGCGGTGTGAATGGTTTAATCCGAAGGTGAATTAAACAGTCAAATTTATGTTTCCTTTTTTACGTGAGGTTATTTTTCATACGTAGAACTCGTACAGGAAGGAGAAGTTGGACAGTCTGAGGATTAATAAATATCTTTACACGACCACTTTAGAATTGGGACATCAAAGAACACGATAGATCAGAAGCGACTGATAAAAGAAGTGAAATGCTCGCTCATTGTTTTTAAATACACATTTATCGGGTTTGATTATCGATCCTACACGCGTCTCGCAATCCCGCGGTTACGATAGGCAGTGGAACAAAGTCAAGCGGTATGACGCGTCTTTGTGAAAATATGAAATCGATCGAGACATCCGGGGACAAATCTCTTGTCTCATCGGTTCGATAACTCGTAAACACGCGTTGATACGTCGCTGATTTTGATCGTTTTGTGAATAATTGGATATTTTTTGATTCATTGAGTCGGAGAGGAAAGTTCTGTTACGACACGTAATTTGGGTAACTCGAATATTTAAATTATAATCTACTGATTAACTTCGTAGAATAATCTAAATATCTGATCACGTTCTGGAAGTTTCGTCCTCTAAAACTCACAGTTCTACTAATTGAATTATACGGTAATTTAATCACGTTGTACTTCAATTATATATTAATTTCATTAGATACTACATAGTAATTTAACTAGATTGTATTTCAATTATACAGTAATTTAATTACGTTGTAATTGATTATGTAATTCAATTAGATCGCAGTTACATAATTCAAAGTTTTCAATCGATTCAATCGCTAATTACTGTAATCAGCGACGTAATTGAATTACGCTAATGGTAATATGAATTTTTGAATAATTCTTCCACGTCTTATTACCTTTCGTTGTGGTTAGCGCATAATTTATAATTCCGATTTCAGTTATATCGTATTTTATAATTGTGCATCGAGTGGAATTACGAATTGCATTGCAATTTAATTGAACGAGAGATCCGGATTACAAATTACAATGGAATTAAATTACTTTGTAATTATAATTCGCGGAGTAATTCAATTGTAATTGTTCACGACTCGGCTAGCGCGCGACCGCACGCGTATAGAGTGGAAAACTATAGTCCCGAAATAATTATTATCCACTATAAGCGAATATACTAAAGAGAGAGGTGAACCCACGGTTGGCGAGACGTTGCAAAAACAGTGCAAATTAACCGAATTATGGAAGCGTCACGTTTGCTAATGATTTATGCGCGACAATGTGCCGGTAATTGGCGGCGAGCAACGCAGCGAGCGACGCGTAGCGCGACGCGGTCTGTCCACCGATTAATTAATGAATTGACGAGGCACGAGATTGCGGCCGCGAAATCATGTACATACATTCGTCAACCGGTAGACGGTCAATTGTCGAATTGAACGTAAACTTTCCTCACCGAATTTTTCGATCGACCACCAGGCAGGAAGTGCAAGAAAAACATTTCCAGTCGATATATTCGGTCGACCGGTGTACAAAAACGCTCGAACCTCGCGCAGAGACTAATAAATAGGCAAGGCGATCGTTCGGTGATCGAGTAACGCAATAAAAAGATAATTACCGGGAAAATGGTAGCCAATAATGGCCGGGTGTAAAATTTTACAAGCGAACGATCGTGTCCTGGTCGATGCACAGTCTACGGTTTCTTTCGTAATACTACCGCGATGAAAATCTCTCCGATGTTTTTTTTTGTCGGCCCTCTCATCTCGGGTAGACTTTT